ATACATAGTATTGAGTGTGTGAACACATTCCATACTACGGGCTTTCTGGCTACAGAATCGCCCTGACCCTTTTGCTGCAATCCTTTAAATACAAAACCAAGATAAAACATCCCCCAAGTGGAGGCATGTACAAACAATTGGAATTTACATTAACCCAGGTCCCAGACCTGGGTGGTTTGCACCTCAATGGGAACAGAGGGTAATTTGCATGGAATGACCCTCTACAGTAATCAAAGTATCTCTTAACTCTTAGGATCTGTATTATCTTTTAGTCTACTTTTGTAAGATTAAGGCCATTGTACCACTCGCCCTGAGACTATTCAAATGACACCAAACATGACTGTAAATATTATTTGCATTCATATAGAACATTATATTCTACCATTGACCATTCTGAGGGAGCTGGGTGAAGAGAAGGATGGGTGCGGGGAAGGAAGGGAATGAGGAGGAACCAATGCATATGTGAGAAACGTTTTCCCGCATTTTCTCTCCGTGAGATGCAGAAACAGATGTCTATGTTAATGCACTGTGTGTGTATTGTCTGTCTCAGAAGATCAAAGTATCTGAGTTTCTTTTATCCTTACAGCAATAGTTAATATAACTACGTACAACTTAATCAAAGCTGAAACAATATGCATGGTTAACGTAACGGAGTACAACTTAAACTAAGGTCAAGCGGTTAGTCAGAAACCCATAACCTCACCTGATGTGCCCATGGTCCATCTAACCTGAGATCTAGTATGCACTCTTAACCCTGGACGCAGATTTGCGGAATCATACGCCTTCACTTAATCTACTTGAGAAAATCATTTCAAAGTCAGAATAAATCAAATGTACCAATTTATTATCAGTCAGGTATATATGTATTATGCCAATTATCTACATAGCCAATTCAAAGATATCAAATCAATACAAGACATCAGATTCTCATAGACAAATCTAAGAGTAAAGGATTCATACCTGACTTAAGGAAAATACATAGTATTGAGTGTGTGAACACATTCCATACTACGGGCTTTCTGGCTACAGAATCGCCCTGACCCTTTTGCTGCAATCCTTTAAATACAAAACCAAGATAAAACATCCCCCAAGTGGAGGCATGTACAAACAATTGGAATTTACATTAACCCAGGTCCCAGACCTGGGTGGTTTGCACCTCAATGGGAACAGAGGGTAATTTGCATGGAATGACCCTCTACAGTAATCAAAGTATCTCTTAACTCTTAGGATCTGTATTATCTTTTAGTCTACTTTTGTAAAATTAAGACCATTGTACCACTCGCCCTGAGACTATTCAAATGACACCAAACATGACTGTAAATATTATTTGCATTCATATAGAACATTATATTCTACCATTGACCATTCTGAGGGAGCTGGGTGAAGAGAAGGATGGGTGCGGGGAAGGAAGGGAATGAGGAGGAACCAATGCATATGTGAGAAACGTTTTCCCGCATTTTCTCTCCGTGAGATGCAGAAACAGATGTCTATGTTAATGCACTGTGTGTGTATTGTCTGTCTCAGAAGATCAAAGTATCTTGAGTTTCTTTTATCCTTACATGCGCCTTGCGTTGCTGCGTCTGTTGAACTGAGGTGCTACAGCGACCTGTCTCTCCACATTAAACAGTGCCAAAACAGCATTTAGTGTTTAAATACTGCAATACAATGGATGGACAGAATTTGAAATCTGAGACTTTGCTTCATATTAAAAGCACCAAAGTACAATGCTTATTGTGATTTATTGGATGGGAAGTGCCCTTCAATGTTCCGTCCATTAACTGAAAACAGGCTAGACTAATCGATTCTTGGGATTTAAGAATCGATATCGTTCCGTAAAAAAGAGAATCGATTAATATCGAGATATGAATATTTTTTTTACCCAGCCCTAATGGATTCACTACAGGATGCCTTTGTTCACCCCCCGGAGCCATGTGAGGCACGTTTTATTATGGATGCGCGCTTTATTTGACGACTTGTGGACCGTTCAAATGCAACACCTGCTGACTACAATGATGGAGCTTGGAATAGCCATGACAATTTTTAATATAACTCAGACTGGATTCGTCTGAAAGAAGGAAGTCATATACACCTAGGATGTTTCAATGGTGAGTAAAACAGGTGAACTAACCCTTTAATATGCAGGTTAAAAGTACGCCATTCATATGTTGATTCCCCAAAGAGTGTAATCGCTTTGACACTGTGGTGCTATTAAAACATTGCTGTATTTGTTTGAGCATCTTGACCAGCTAAATGCAGAAAAATTAGCGAAACTAATGGTGTGAGTTTAGGGTGGGACTCTCTGTCGAACAATGGCAAATGAGGAAGTTTTTGCGTAAGATGGCGGCGCACACATGCTGTGGCTTTGCACTCCGAGTGGTTGTTGTTGTTTTTTATGTCTACACTGTTGGTATCTCTGTCTGTGAGTACCTTGATATATAAACGTCAAGATGTATTAAGGATTGGAACGTTATGCGGGGAATCACATTTCACTAAGAGTTTTTACATCGATCACCTTCCGTCGGAGATCACTCGACCAGCGGGGAGTCTGTGGATTACTATACCGGGTGAAAGACGCAAGAGGAGGCGCAGAGATCGACGCCAGAAGCGCGGCTGCAGATCCGGCTAAAGAAATGTCCATACAGGCCAGCATTACCCAGTATTTTTTTGACATGCTAGATCACTCGGTAACCAGATTGACGAGCTAGCAACGACTATCGAGGCACAGAAGTTGTTACAGAACTGCTCGGTTATGCTCGGAGACGTGGCTACACCCAGGGATACCAGACAAAGCTATCATGCTAGCGGGCCGCACAGCTCACTGGGCTGACAGAAACAGCGACTCCGGCAAGAGAAGAGGAGGGGGACTGTGCATCTACTCTAACAACAGGTGGTGTACAGATGTTACAGTCATGGGAAGACATTGCTCACCTGACTTGGCGTTTGTTACACTGAGATGCCGGCCCTTCTGTCTGCCGCGTGAGTTCACTGTAGTTGTCATAGCCGTGTACATTCCACCTAGTGCTAATATTACAGTGGCATTGAATTTTTAGCTAGCAGCAATCAACAAACTGCAGTGTGTGCATCCCGACGGGATCTTTATTGTAGCTGGGGACTTTAAGCGTGCAAAGGGGTAGGGGTGAAAATATTCCTCTAAGAATTGGGACACCACTACTATACCATCACACGTCATCATACGTCGTCTAGCTCCTACAATACACACACACACACACACTGTTCTGGTGTGCATTACAAACCTTTAATTACTGTTCTATATCAACGCGCTGCTTACTGACACACACACATATAGGAGATTGTGCAGCTCACACATCCAGGAGAAAAGAAACTTGTCAACACTGCCCCACGACTTTTTTTAATAACAGTTTAAATACTGAATCGCTACATTTATATTTTCCAGCAAGGAGAGGATAAAATCGCTGTTCTTGAAGTAAACTCACTCTAAAAAGAGAAACGCACAGACGTGCACATGCAACTTTCATCTCTCTCTCTCTCTCTCTCTCTCTCTCTCTCTCTCTCTCTCTCTCTTTCTC